CTACGTACATACGAGACAAAGCATCAGCTGCCTCATTTTTGCTGCCTTTGACATACCTTATATCTGAAGTGAATTGTGAAATAAACTTTAAGTGTCGGATTTCCCGCGACGAGTAGTTGTCATGCTTTGCGTCAATTGCTTTTATACCCTTCGAGCACATATCTGAAATGCTTGATAGCTAAGTAAATCGCCAGTAGCTCTCTGCCGAATGTACTGTACCGCGATTGAGAAGCATCAAGCCGTTTCGAGAAGAAAGATAATGGTACCCACTGACTGTGAACAAACTGTTGTAGTACTGCGCCTACCGCAACATTTGAAGAGTCTGTCATGATTGCCAGTGGTGCTCCTGAATCCCGACGAGAGGGAAGAGTTTCGGAACTTAGAGCCAGCTTCAGTTTGCCAAAAGCATCATAGGCCGCTTGGGTCATGTGAAACACTTTAGCTCGTCCTTGCAATAAATCTGTCAGCGGTTGGGGTACTTCAGGGCATTTAGGTATGAAACGTCGATAGAAGTTTACTAACCCCAGAAATCTTCGCAGCTTTCGAAACGAGTCTGGAACAGGATATTCTCGAATTGCATCTACTTTCTTGCAGAACCGGTTTAACACCGTTGGCATTCACATTGTGACCCAAAAACTGTTGGGATTCTTTGCCAAATTCGCACTTCTTCGGATTGATTGTAATGCCATATTCATGCAGTCGTTCGAAAAGCATTCTCAGATGTTTCAGTTGCGTTAGCTACTATTAAGTCATCTATGTATGCACTGACGAGAGGTAATCCATGAAGTACCTGATCTATAAATCTTTGGAATGTTTGAGCAGCATTTGTCAAACCAAACGGCATACGAATAAATTCGAATAATCCAAGGGGGTAGTAATCGCCGTCCTAGGAACATTATTGGGTTCCATAGGAATGTGGCAGTAAGGTTGCGCGAGGTTAATCCTGGAAAAAAGATTTACCTTTGTCATATAGTTCATAAAATTATGTACGTGAGGAATTGGATACTTATCAGGGACCGTACGCTTATTCAACGCTCGATAATCACCTCAGGGCCGTATTTCCCCTGTTGCTTTTTTGGGTGCCATATGCAGGGGTGATGACCATGGGCTCTTGGAAGGGCGTATAACTCACAACTCTAGAAGTTTATCGAATTCCTGGTTTGCTATCTGCAGTTTTTTAAGGTCTAAGCGTCGAGGTTTTGATGAGACCGGAGGACCTTTTGTAAGAATACGGTGCGTCGCCGTGTTTTGGCGAGGACTTCGTATAATCCATTTGCGTGAGCTCGGGAAATTCTTGCAGAAGGATATCGTACTCGGAAGTGATGTTTATTGAACCTACGACTAGGTTTTTTGTTTTTGTCTTCGTGGCGATATCCGCGATAGAAATTCACTATCACGGCTGACTAGTCTATGGCGACTAGAGTCGACCAATAGTTCGTAGTGTTGAAGGAAATCCATGCCAATGATAGGCGACGATGTGTCAGCGATGGCGAATTCCCACTGGAATTCTGTGTGGAAGCCAATGTCTAGGATCAAAATTCTGGCTGCACATGTAGTAATAGCAGATCTATTTGCAGCCTTTAGTACCAAGGTGGGTTGGAATGGCGTTTTTCGGAAGGTGTGGGTGGAATCACGCTCACTTCCGCTCCAGTGTCAACCAGAAACTGAGCTCCAGTCTTTCTGTCCGTCACTCAAAACAAACAACTGTGTTGTTGCACGCCAGCGACCGCAGTCGTCACTGATCGCCGGCCTTTCCGTTTCCCGATGAAAAGGTTTTAAAGTCGCATGGTAACAAAGAACGACGTGCTTTACTGCCAAACTTCTTGTGATACCAGCACGTACTATTCTTAGACGCTATTCTACTCGTGGTCTTATCACGACTACGGGATCTGCTTCTACAGAACTTTGGTGACCGTCGGTTCAACTTCAAACCCGTTGGTTGCCCTGTATGTCGATCTTCTTCTCTAAAGCAGCTACTTTGTCGTTTTGTGTTGACTCAGTAATGCTTTCAACTTATTTAGGCACCCTTTCGTACATACGGTCAGCGATGTCAGTCGACCTGTCAATGTCAATATCCGCACCTTCGACAGTTAATATCTGCTGAATGCATGAAGAAGTCTCCGCAGCCGGAGCTGGTAGAATAAACGGTTGTCTACGTTCCTATCTTTCAACAGACTCTGCACATTTCACTCAAGTTGTGAAGGTGTTCTGTCACCGAGGCATACGCTACTTAGTAGTTGATCGACAGCCTTCTGGTCAGGTAACGAGGTAGCTTTCAGAACTTCGTGCTTCAAAACATCATGAGGTGTATCTGGGTGAGGCTTTAATAGTGTCTCCCCTACTTGTTCAGCCACTACTTCCGGCAAAACAGGGCTCGTGCAACCGAACTTTGTGTTTTGTGAAGTTATGTGATTGGCCATGAAGAAATGTTCTAGAAGGACAAACCACAATTACGGGTCATTAAACTTAATGGCACCCACGGACCCTGTATTTGAAAGTCTTGATCATGACAGTTTAAGGACATCAGTACTGGTACGGCGAAAGAAATTCTTAAGAAATTAAAATAACAAGAGTAGGAAAAATACAGTAAGCAAGTGTGTTAATGCCCACCACAAAGCAGCCGGAGAAATTCTCAGTATATATGTGTATATCCATACTGTATAGAGCTATTATTGACTGGTTGCAGTATTCAATTGAAAACAACAATACTATCCACCAGTAAAACTTGCGGGAGTTTAATCAGGTCGGGTTCACCAGTTTGTCGAGCTCTGAAATCTGACTCCAAATTTATATAAGCGTCCAGATACACTATCGCCCACTGATAATTCCCGACACTGCTGATCTACCTGCGTCAGACAGTGTAAATATCAAGAGTTAACGCGAAGTATATATCAGGATGTTGTATTGGTTAACTAGCAATCAAAAGGTCTTTATCAGTACAACTAAACAAAAAATGTTCATATATCGACACAATACAGTAAAATAAAGTGCTGCAGATTCTTGCAGACAGACTTTTGGCCCCAGTTTGTTAGAAATATTCTTATTGACTCTCAGTACGTTATCTGTACTGGCGAACTCTTTGGACCAGGGGTATTTTCGGGTACTACACAGGTATCACCTCATATCGTAATTTGCTGTCGTTAAAGTATAACCTTTGACTGTACATGCTCAAGGAAGCTTGGGAGCCTATACCGAGGAGCGCAGTAACTTGTCTGTTTCGTGTTAACTTAGTTCCGTTGAATTGTTTCCTGCGTTCAGAATGGAGTACTCGGATTCTGGTGTCAACGCTGTGATTATCACTTTCCCAACCTAGAAAGGTAGGGAATGCTGAATACGAGAGGCAGTATTTAAACAAACTTTTCGTTTTTGAGTTATGATGGCAGTGCTGACATTAAAATTATTGGCAGCCACAATAATGCTCATAAGTTAGTTTAACTACAATAAAAATGAAGATGATGGATATAAATCATTAGAGGCATTTTATGCAAAGTATATTTCGTCATAATAAATGAAGCACATATATTATTAATAGTGGAGTTTTTTCTCTCTCTCGTCTGCCTACACATCACTATAGATTGTAAAATTATCTTTTATTAGCTCTGTCTAATTCACGAGTTAGAATGAACGTCAAAATACTAACGGCTCATGCCAACTTCGCCTTGACAGGCGCTATTTCTACCTCTGCCTTCGTAAGCCACTACTGCCCAAAGACATCACACAGATTCCTCTTTGAAGTGCAAGATCCATGGAATTCGTTAACACCTAACCACCTCAAACATATGTATACATAATTAACTGCGAAAATAATACTGGTGCAGTTGTTTTCCTGAAACCACATGCCTTCAGCACTCACGCTGAAGATCCTCAAAATGGATTCGCTAGGCCTCTGACACTGTAGGTAAGTGTAGACCGGTGAAATAAAGTGAAACTACAGATTAATCTTTGTGATTGCAGCCTCACACTTGAGCAGCCTCTTTCTCCGAGGGCATTCCATAATAAACCGATGCCGTTCAAAGTTCATAACTTCCTGAAAAACAGAGGTTGGATTCGTTCGCAAAGTGCCAGCTTTGAAGTAACAGTGGCGCGACGCACCAGCCAGAAGAACAAGGTAAAATATATGTTGGTAGAAGCTTAGATTTATATTTCAGTTGCTTCACTTAGTTGAAAAATTAAATCACCTTTTATCATAAATGTTCAGCTCATTATCACGAAAAAGAATTTTAATACTCCCATGCTCTAACACTGGATTACTTTACTTGCTCGAAGTTATATCACCTGCCCTACAGTTCCCTCTTTGTAAACAGAAATGCGTGTCATTCCTGAGGATAAGCAAAATTGCGCATATTTTCAGGAAATTATACTAAATTTCTTAAACTTCGCTTATACTTTCATAAAATCACCAAAATCATCATACTGAGGAGCATTTCAACGGACATAAGAAGTGGGTGTTCAGACTTTAAAGAGGATGCTTAAGGTAAAACTAAAACTAAAAAGATTTTGAAATCCAGAGATAGGCAACCAGGTGGCGAGAAGCCTGTCGTCGACTGTGAATTTCGTAGCCTTCACTGAAAACAACAAATAATTACAGGTTTTCTACCGGTCCACTCGTGAAGCTCGGAACCAAGTTAACTGGATACGAAAAGGTTAGGTCGTAGGGGTTCGGACGTAGGTCCATGGTTCAGCACTGATTTGTATTATGAAGCATGAGACCATAACTCATCAGCTGCTGCTCGCTGCTGAAAATCGAGAACAGTAAGTTGTTGCTTCATCGCTTTGTGAGGTGCATGTGAAAAATCTTTGGCTATTCCTACCTAGTGTGAGCCAACCTTCGGATACCTAGAAACTTAGCCTGTTTTTATTCCTTGGGATGAATTACCACTCGAGCTTCCAGTCAGTCAATCAATCAGTTAGAAACAGTCAGAGCTCAGGCAGGATTGGCTTTGCTTCGGACACACATTGGCAATTTAAAGGATTTCACAAACTCTGACTTGAACACCTACCGTGTTTAGATTCATTTTCTTGCTGAAGAAGGACGTTCATATTCTTTATTCTGTCCGTGCAAAATTTCAGGAGGTGAAATTGTGGTACGTCACAGAAAAGTCAGTGGCTCATTAGCCTAGGGTTTGATGATAGTCGACGTTGATGCTGACCTTGATAGTTTAAGTGGACTCGCTAAGCTGAGGGCACCCGGTCAAGCATCCTCGTCATTTGGCACGCCGTCGTGTTACGTTGCACTGCTCGTGGTCGACTCCCTAGCCAGTTAGTTTGAACTCATCGATATCTTGGCACATCCACCCAAATATACTATTCCATCTGACTACGCTATCGTGTTCTTCCTTGGTCTCGTATTCTTGGGTATATAACAAGTCGGAATAATTAGTGATTGGTCTTTGCGTCCGTTAAGTTCGCACCAGGACACATCCTAAACTCCTTCTACCCATCTGGCTACTGTGAAGTACTGCAAACCAGCCAATTATTTGGAGTTTGATATTCATGTTCATGTTCTGTGACCGAAGCAAAATAGCAATTGGACCACGAGCTGGTTAGACGTAAACCTGATCACCCTGTATTCAACTAACTTCAATCCGAAGAAGTAGCGTTTTTACGGAGAGAATACTAAAGACAGCAATAAGAAAGGTAATAACATCAAAAATCTTACTTCACTGATGACCAGCACCAAGAGTCCTAGCGTAAGTGGAGGTTGGAAAAAAGACGCCAATACCAGGGACTGCTTCCTCGTCAGCATAGCTGTGACAAAGTCTCCCTCAGCGCTGAACATGAATTCTACATCGAATAAGCCCTGAAAGAAAGACTGGAAGAAGTGTGAGCAGTTTGAAAAAACTAAAAAGACTACAGTAGGAAATGGCAGTGACCTATGGGGAGTAACTACTTATATTCAGCCCAGCTAGAAGCCTGATCCCAAACTGACTAACTCCCCTCCCACTCGGAAGGAAGTCGATTTGAAAGAGGGCGATCTAAGTCTCACCACCTGTAAGGCATGATCAAGGCCATCTACACTTCAGCGCTAACCCCGGTCAATCGCAGAAGTAACTCCCAGAGTTGAGGTCTCAGGCCCTGCTAGCCAATTCCAAAGAATCACGGGGAAACTCAGACATGCGTTCACTGGCAGGATTGTAACGCGGACGTTAGATTACAGTCCCAATCTCAAATTGCACGTACTCTTTGACGTTTAGGAGGGAGGCTTCTCCTTACCGGCTGATAGTAAAGAGCAGAATCTTGCTATGTGGAGGATGTTAGCAAAATTCTCGGAACCTCGTCCTCCAGTCCATCTCTAAAACATTTAGCCCACGACAATTTCTCCCCCAAAAACGCCTCTAGGCCTCTGACAGCTTCTCCGGATAGTACTCGTCAATCTGAACACATTCTCCTATAAAGTTTTAAGCCTGCAAGGCACAAACCGTTGAACACCCGGATTAGGCCTGATAAACCCTGGTCAGTGAGGAAACGTCTCTGCAACAGCAGGAAACTTCACTCCGGAAGACTGTGCTACTCGGTTGTCGTACATAGGATCAAAAATATGTGGACACTGAGACCACTGAGCTGACCCACGATATAAATCAGCGGAGACAACCACCGAACAAAGTCTAAGTCGATATGGGGATGGAAAAATTTAGTCGCTCCACCTTTCGACGACTTGTGCTCCCAAGCTTCTCCGAGTAACTCCTGATTCTCCGGGCAGTGATATAACCCTGGAGTCACGCTGTAGTAAGTCGAATGCCCTCCCAAGATGTATTGGGAAAAATAGGTGGAAACGTAGTGGACAAAGGCAGACTGAAGGGAGGTTCAACCATTTGCCTGTGGCCAAGCCACGTCTGCCGATCGAACGGTCGAAGGAGGTGACAGCCTTATCTGATCTGGTCCTAAATACGTGATTCCTATATTGGTTCTTGGCCCAGCAGAGTGGTGGAAGTAGCTACCCTTGGTACTGCTTTCTTGTCGGCTGAAAAAACCCGAAAAAGTCGGCCCTTTTAAGTCTAGCAACAAAATCTTCTTGACTCAACCATGCTCCTGGGAACTTAGGTCTTCATATTCCCATTCGCTGCACCCATGGTAGAGTGGGTGATTTGCAAGCTGCCTGAGTTAAGGTTATTGGTTGGTGGGGATAGTCTTAGTATGTTGGCTTTCTGTGAAACATGGCTCACAGATAACATGAAAGATAAATGAATTTATCTAGGAGGGCTCAGCTTAATCCAAAGGAGTGGGTCAGAAAGATCAAAAGTCATTGTTGCTTCTCATACCTGAGGTTCTGTGAAAGCCGGTGAAACTTCCTCCCATGGATTTAGTACTAAAGAGGTACACTGGTGTAGTGTTAGATACTGTGGGAGTTCCTGTTTGGCTGGGAGTCTATACTGCCGCCAACGGGTCCCCGGTAAACGAAATAAGATGACAAAATCTGGGTTTCAGCTATCCTCGGGTCTTCATTGTGGAATATTTTAGCTTCCCTCAACTCCTCACCACTTTAGAACCCCATTTGCCACTTCAGTAGACATTTCGGAATTATCCTTGTCCTGCTGTGCTGCTTATTGTACTCGCCGGGGTTTGAAGGTAAGGCATCCCAAGTTGACTATGTTCTTAAAAGTGGCCATGCATTCGTTTCCTTTAAATTTTCCGAACCTGAGTCACCTAACCGTGACCAGGCGTTGGTCGGGAACTACGAAAGGGCTGATTTTTAACAGGCCCGATAAGACCTAGGGCGTTCCACTTGCTGAAAATGCTATCTGCATCGAGGATGGTAAACATCATAGGATCAGTCTCTAGGACTTGTCCTGGTACGAACTTGATGGACGCAAAGACCAATCACTAATTATTCCGACTTGTTATATACCCAAGAATACGAGACCAAGGAAGAACACGATAGCGTAGTCAGATGGAATAGTATATTTGGGTGGATGTGCCAAGATATCGATGAGTTCAAACTAACTGGCTAGGGAGTCGACCACGAGCAGTGCAACGTAACACGACGGCGTGCCAAATGACGAGGATGCTTGACCGGGTGCCCTCAGCTTAGCGAGTCCACTTAAACTATCAAGGTCAGCATCAACGTCGACTATCATCAAACCCTAGGCTAATGATTTTGGGGAAGTATGCGACGCTACGACAGGAATACTGATATACTTGCAGCCACTAATTGAATTCTCTCTGGAGCACTCAGGTAGTGCGCCAATGGTTTGTGTGCCTGACTGGCCACCCTCTCTGTATATTTCTTTCTGTAAGGTTGGCAACTTTCTGACTGGAGATGGTGGAGACATAATGGTCACTTCTGGGCACAGACCAATCTTTTCTATCTCTTCAATTTCTGGGGTTAAGGAAGGAGTAGTAAATGAAACATTTCGTGGCTAGTTACTTAGGAATCCAATCTTAAATGGCTTTCAACACGTGTTTTATACCTGGAAGTCTATGTACCGTCCACTTGTTGATAGCTTGCAATAGTTAGACCCCCTCTATTGAGTAGAAAAGCCACAACGATATTGGCTTGCCTTCCTTTTCCGGGCCTTCAACTAAGCAAATTATGATACCTTTCGCAAGAAACCCCGGCTTATGGGTGTACACGAAAATTACCAAGTTGGATTAGAGATCATTTTTACACTGTGGCGCGGTCATTCAGAATTGGGTTCTCCCCATCTGATTAGTTCCTGGTGCCGAGTGTTGGGACCCAGTGTTCTACTCCTGGTCCACTATTCTTTGCCCTTATCAGTGACATGCCAGTGTCCAGTAATTCCTATTCATCATTATATGCCGATGATCTGAGGAGGTGGAGAGAACCATGGGAGCCAGTGGACATTTCGGCTTTCAGCGAAGACCCTCCAAAATCCTCAATTGGACCACTTAAAACCTGCTCCCTGTCGACGCGATGTGTAAGATAATGATTGCTGACATGACAGAAATGGTCCCTATAATTATTTGCCGGATGAAATAAATACCTGTCAATCAAACACTGAAAAATATGTAGAAGTTGCCCAAAGTGACACACTTGAAGCTTCTATCCTTTGTCACCTTTCGGGGACTAAAGCCTATGAAATTCTGGAGTTTCTTTCGCGGACTCTACGGAGTCTACCTCGTACCCTTCTCATCGTAGTAGTTAGACTTTAGGTTCATCCTCATCTTCGAAAATTTCCCTCGTGAGGTCTCCGTGCTTCAAGAGGCGCAATGCTATCTTATAACAGTTTTAGAGGGCTAAGGAGAAAGCGATTTGGTTACAGCACCAATCTCACCTGGATGCTCTTAAGCTGCAATCGGCACAATTTGATGTGTCACATTGCCCGTAGTCCCCTTCATCTTGACAGATCCCCCTTAAAGTTTAAGCATAAACGTCACCTTGGAGACCACCCGTTTAGAATAGAGTTTGAAAGAGCGCGTACAAAGATCTATACTAACGTGTTTGCAGTTGGAGAACGTGAACTACGGAACCCCCTTCCTGCAAACCTTATTACAGCCCCCGTTTAATTCTTTCAAAATAAGGTTGGAGGTACCTTCAGAACCTTGTGGTACCGACGATCTGTACTGGAGAGGTCTTCCATCATCAGCACATCTGGCGGCAAAAACTACCTTTGATGTGCAGAATAATCTATAGTCGATTGTCCCTGTTTTTTGAAACCAGGAAGACAAATGCGATAATTTCAAACCCAGCTAGACAGAAGTAGAACTCAAGAAAAATTCTCTCATTAAGTCTACAACATGAAGTTCGCCTCGATCAACTGCTATAGCTCAGGTTGCTGCAACTGCAACACCACTTTTCTCATTCGATCATATACCTTGGACCTGTGAGAAGCTTTGGGCATTCTTCCATGTCGCACAACTGTGCAATCCTAGGTAAAGTTAACAACTTACTTTATCTATCATTGTTTTTCTACGTTTCACTTGATACAACCATTTGCGTGTATCCCTTTTGTACCCCCTCCTAATCAGTAGTAGAAATGAGTATTAATCGAGTCCTAACCAAATCTGGTATCAGGAACATCTCAGGCAAAGCCTCACTCCAGCCACAAACCCTCCCATCAGTGGTAGTAACGGGGCCGGAGGCAAGAGACTTAGTGCCGCCGCAGAAGATCACGGGTCGACCCTGAGAGGATAGTCGCAACAAACACTTCCTGCGAAAAGTCGAATTCCTGTCCCTGTGAACTCCTGTGCTGTGGTTCACCAACGAGCATATCTTTCTGGTACCACCAGCCCAAACCCTAGTCTACTTGTGAAGGCTACCACTGAGAGACGGAAGAGAAGGAAAAGAAAGTCGTTAACTAAACCTTCTAGTCAGGCTGACGACTGTCAT